CATCGATCCGTGGAGGTTACTTTATGCACTCATGTGTAAGATACATTTATGTTTCTCAAAGTCCTCCGTTTGGAATTCATTAGGTATTGATCCCTTTTAGCGACGGTAAAAGCGCAGTCTGATAGCAGCCTTGTCTGAAGCCAGGTAATCAATTCAGTGCCATTCAGAAATAGATGCCCTTTTACTTTGTTATTGTTAGGCATCAACATTTGATATCCCTGCAAATACTTATATCTCTATCACCAATGATTTCAAATTAAGATACAGCCTTTTTGTCAATTCCAACAGACAATCTGTGTACAGAGATAAAAAACAATGAGATTGTTTTGTAGGAAAAGTATTGACAGTTGAACCAGTTTGGTCTAGTTAGTGCAGTTTTCGTCTCGGCCTCCTTTGATGTTTGGAGACTGGATGGGGTTCGGTTGTCTTTGCACAGCCTCGTCCTCACTTCTGCTCACACAATCTGAGTCTTGCCCTCCATCCATCCCTCCCTGTGTGCTGATTGGCTGCCGGTTAGTCGGCTGCAGCCAATGGGCCCCGCTGAAAATCTCAGTGTTTAGTCTGGTGCTAGGCAGCGGGATCAACAGACAGGTGGGTCAAGCAAAGTCTTCAATGTTCTGTTTGGCTGCACAGCAAAGCTCTGTTCACCTTTAAAGCAACATTACACTCTGGTGTAACAGTCACACAACATGGCATCTGTCATCTTGAAGAGTTTAGTCAACATTTGGGAGCATCAACACCACTCAAGAAAATAGCTCTGCTCTCATGACTGAATGCTCGTTTTTACCCAGTAATGCTGTATTTTATTGAGCTGTTACATGTCAAATATTGAGACCTGTGTCCTGTGATGCTGATGTGTGTGCTCAGAGGTAAATTCCCCAAATGTATGCTAATGGTACCAGAAAGAAGAATATAACTTTTTTGTGCTATGTCTACAAGTGTCATGTTCCTCTTGTTTTTAGTGTTTTGCACTAACCTGTTCCTGTTCGAGAATTTATGGATGTTATTATTATACTAAAGTAATATTATTTTTGAATCCTTTTCTGCAAGTTGCTGAACGCTAAGAACAAGAGGCCAGATAAGGCCACAGAGAGACTAGGCCCCTCTACAGGGGAAGCTTGCTTGTGTGCAGCCAGTCACAGTCTGCAGTTTCTTTCCAGTATATGCACAATTACTCAGGAAACAGACTGATCCAAAATATTCTGTGCAGAATGTCAAATTTCAGCATTTGGGGTTTTATTGTGTTATTCTATCCTTGGCAAGTCAAGTCAATGGTACAAAATGGCTGGACGAGTGTGTCTCTCATTAGCCTGGACTCAAAAATTCTGTCGGGATTAACCTGTTGACTGTTTTTCTCTCTCACGGCTTGAGGCAACATTAAATTAATGAAGATAACAGCTTTTCGAGCCAAAAATAACGCCGCGTCTCTGGTGTGTCTGTGGAGAGTGAAATAGCACAAATTATCTTCCTTCAGTCTTTTCGCTGCCGGTGAGCAGAGTTTTGGTAAATATAACAAAAATGTGTCACATGCTAGACTTTTGAAAATACTAATGGTGAAATGAACATCTCCTGTTTATTACAGGATATTCAATATTTATTTTCCCCTATCTATTAGCAGGTTGAGAGGTCTGCGTGATTTATCCACCTCTGTCTGGTTCACAATGGTATATCCCATTCCCAAGGGAAGTCCTTCGCCCCCCACTCACCACCCTCGATTCTGAACTTTGACCCTGGCCTCCTGCCTTCCAGGATATGAAATGACCCTCCCAGTGGGGGAATGTTTTGGAACAGTTTTAGCTGAGTCTGTTTGAAGCAGGCAAGAGCTCAGAGGGATTCATGGCCATTTTGTTCACAGGTCTCTTATTTTATCTGTGTAATCACAATGACTAGTGTGCTGTTTGCAGAAGGACTGTGGCTGTGACTTTTTCAAATGGGTGTGAAGGTTGCTCATCATCTTCACAGTAACAGCACTCATCTGATATTTAATAAGCAGATATGCAGAATTAGCTGTATTGTTTGTGAGGTGCAGACTGCAGTACAGTATATAGCTGGAATGTTAATTTGTAGTAAATAGAAATACTGATGGTTTCTTGCAGCAATAAGTTGCTAAATGCACGTGATTTAATCAATGTAACCTCGATGTCTCATCTCAAGTTAGAGGCTGCGGGTGTAAAACACATGCCAGACTGGCTGCCTTCAGACAGATGCAGAGATTGAATGAACTGAAGGTGAACATTTTGTTATAAGCAGGTGTTGATAATAGTAAGAATCATCAGACTACAGAACGCTTCAACTTCAACTATAATTACATTACACATGCATTTTTCATGCTTATGTGTCTACTGGTTTATCTGGCATTATTTTGTAAATGCATTGCATTGGTTTAATTTGCCTGTGCAATTTCCAGATTATCAAATGAGTGACACTGAATTCAAAATCATCCCTTTGCATTTTTTTGGTTTCCATTCACCTCTAAACTTCTTACACCTCTTTTTTCACCTTTGCTGTAATGAAGACAAATGTATTCAACTACCGAGATGTAGTCGTGCTGTTTGCACCACTCCTTGCACGACCATGAGAAAGAGATCTAATTCTGCTTGTCCTGGCCGCTACACCAGTCTGCGGTCCACAGTGTTGGCCATAAGACAGACCTGCTACTATTGATTTTGGATAAATATTCTATGATTTTTGCATGATTGCTTATATTTTACTGTCTTCTCTAACCCAGTATAATTCACTTTCTTATAAATCAGAGTGCCAAGACAAGCACAACAATCTCTTTTTGTTTTTTCTAGTAGTAGCTACACAGTCTTTACTTAGTAAAGATAATCACAAGATAAACACTGCAGAACATATAGAGCTGTTCAGATATACCAATTAATATATTTTGCCACTGTGTATTATTTTCTTATTATCCCTCTCATTATTATTTTAAGGCTCTGCCCTGGTTTATCCAGCATTCCTCATGCTTGTGTGTGTGTGTGTGTGTATGTGTGTGTGTGTGTGTGTGTGTGTTAAGCACGCCCGTACATAGATTATAATAATGTAAAAACATTTAGGCTATTACTATAATTATACTGTTATGAATTGTGTAGACAAAAAAATCTGATTGTCAGTTATTAAAAACATTTCAACATATGCTCATGTAAAAACAAAAAACTGACAAACTGAGCATCTCCTTATTTAATCATGTCCAGTTGAGCCAGTACGACAGATGCTCAACAATTTGATGTTAAATTGAGTAAGAGAGCATGACTGGCTCTTGTGCCTGATGGATACCTTGCTCCTCAGTGAGTCACAGGTTTGTGACACATGCTTCTTTTAATGTAACAAACCATCACACTGTCTGTTGGCTACTGTTCTGGCTAAACTGTGGTTTGTCTGCTGTTGATGCATGAGAGATTCATATTTAAAATCTGGTTGGAAGCCAGAGGTTGTCTACCCGGAAATAATCTCCCTGCTGTTTTTATTCAGTCACTGAAGAGGCAGGACATCAACAGGAATTGAAATGCAGTGTATGGAAAAGTACTTACACAGTCACATGGACTTCCTTATTCCCCTGGTGCACCATTTTTTGGACTCCACCTCACTTGATTTACATATTATACGATATTTAAATAAAAATGTGTTCTACTTTTCGTGTGAGCTGAATGTGCTCAGATGGTTTAAATGACATCTGGACATATAAACTGGATTTCAGTTATGTTTGAATCAGGAGATACAGTATGAGTTTGTCATTAGTTTGTCATGCATCCAGTCTTTTGTATTTGTGTTCTGGCATCTGAGCTGAAATCTTAGACAACCACCACGCCCGTAGAGTTGACTTTGGAAGGCAATAAGCATTCCTGCTCGACACCACATTAGCCCCTACTTCGCCCCACCTCGGGGTGCTGGGCAGCCTGCCAGGTGGAGGTTGCCATGACTCCTAACACCACCCTTTGCACCAACCCCCCTCCCCGTTAGAAGGTGCCAGATTTTGGAAGGGGGCAGACTGGGCTAACGTTTTGATTTGGGCAAAAAATTGTCAGCATTGGTCACAATGTCAGCAAAATGCTTAATGGGAATGCTGCGGCTTTCTGGTAGGAAATCATGTGATCTTTCTAGCCAAGAGGCAAGAAAGTCAGAGAGAGGGGAGGAAATTTAAATAAAGCAAATAGTTTTTTTTATGCAGTCTTTTTTTCTCTTCACATTCTTGTTTGTTTTGTAGAAACTGGGCGGACAGCACATCACTGAACTGAACCTGTAATGTCAGTGAGCTCAGTTTAGAAGTCCCCTTCTGTCTTTTCATCATTCACTCGCATTACCCCCTAAAAAAAGAAAAAAGTTGTTACGCTTGCTGCTCTTTGCTCTCGGGCTCATACAAAGTGTTGATTGATAGAAAATAGGTCAAATGAATCAGAATTCATAGAAATCTGGTTGAGTGGTATTTTCACTATCGTCTTCAGACTTTGTCGCACTGCAGCCATTGGAATATTCCATTGTTTGTGGCTCTCTGGCACTGGCACAGTTGATGGTAGCTGATCGTGGCATGCTTGATTACACTGGCATCCCTCTCAGGCCCTGCTCTCTGCTATCTGCAGTCTTGTCTAAGTTGAGCTAACCCCCTCACCACAGCCACAGCGCTGCTGGCCAGGAAGTGGACTGATACAGCAATTCTGCGGGCGAGTTTGGGAGAGCAGTCTATAACAGAGTTTTGATTGTTATTAAAATGGCCTTAATTTCCTATTTAAAAACTATTGAGGCATGCGATACTCACAGACCGAGGCACAGCAACCTAAGAATGTAATTAGATATTATTCCCCGTGTGGATCTAATGTCAGACCAGTCACTGCATATTGTGTACTGTCATCATAATGTTCCTCTTTTTCTTTCCTCACCATCGTACCACTCATTGGTTTCTTCAAGTCATATCTAGCAAAGCAGTGTAGCATTTCATCCAGTAACAAGTGCAATACTACCATTTTGTTTTTTAAAAACAACTCTGTTTTTCTTGTTTTTAGAGAGACGAACTGAAAATTGACAACCCCCCCCCAGCAAAACCCATTGAGCAAGACACGAAGGGTAAGTTACTTTCATTTTTTGGGGAGAATCTCAACAATGGCTCTGGCTGCAGATTCTCTATATACCACCTTAATTTAATTCATAGTCCTTAAGCTCCAGAAGTTCAATTCAGTGTCACTGCCATGACCTGTATGAACACTGAACGGCTCCGGTGTCAGCTGGTGTTAGGTACACAGGCATCTTTCTGTAAATGGCATCCTCTGAGACACATCACATGCCCACAGATCGTTCTTTGTGGCATAATCTGGGTGCTCAGTGCTCAGATTTTATGTAACATTCTCAGTCTTTTATTCATTTATTTTGGTACTTTGGCCATAACCATTTGGCACAAACCCGTAGATCCGATCTTGTGGCAAATCTGACAGCACAAGCTCGCCTCTGTGGGTCTTTGTCACTTTGGTGTGAACGTCGTCTATTACATTTTTTTGTCCTTTTCCCCAAACGTCAATTGTAAAGGTGATATGTATAGGTGTGTTAATTCTCCCTTGACTGTAATTATCTATATGTTTCTCTGATTTCCCAGAAATTCACAGCTTGTCCTTTAGTTGCAAAACCCTTAGCCTGAAGCTGAAACATGATGATGATGATGGTGAGGAAGCTTTGTGGTTAGACATGGAGGACAAGGAGTCATTTTGGCCACAGGATGATATAGTTTGTTTAATAAATAGAGAAGAGGAGCCTAAGTAGAAAATGTGTGCATCCGGGTTGAGGTAGTAGGTTGTATGGTTTAGAATTACACCCTGGGAGTTAACTGTACAACCTTCTAGCTTTCCTTGGAGTACACGTATGACATCAATCTGTACAGAAAATTGCTTTGCTTACAGTGCAGCATACAGTACGGACTTTGTCAGTTGCATTCCATTTTATAGCGGCTCTATGCAGCCTTAATGGTCTTCATGTTGATGTCGTTTTTGCCCACCTGAGGATCTCATTTCATAGCTGACCTTAAGCTATGGTCAGCCATCCTGGCTCAAAATTTTCATTTAGCATTAGCTTGACATATGCTGTATTTTTAGACATAATGCATTGTGGTTAGTCGCAGTAACCGCACCTCATCGATTGCATAATGGTGTCCCTGCAAACCACACAGAACGAACAAATGAGCAGTCTACTGGCTTCCTCTCCGCCTGTCCCTACGTTCTGAAATATTGAGTCCTGTTAATGACAAGTCCTTGAATTAAGTGATAATGAATAGGCCCAATGACGTGTTAAATTCTTAACGCAACACTGTGGCGTTTCAAAATTAGAATGTTGCAACTACGCTTTATTTACTTCCTTATTTGACATCACCATTGTCTGTTCGAGGTGACATTTTGTGGTGGAACCTATTTCACACAGTGATGACTTTGTTTTTCAAACAGTTGCTCCATCTTTAGGGCCTGGTATTTCACCTCAGCCTGTGTCGTCAGCACGGGGCTGCGGCGTCCCCCGAGTCAGTCGCATGTGAGCCGCGTGCCAAAATATTATGATGCACAGATGGTTTGACATAAACACCAAGTATAAAATATAGTAATCATAATAAATCTGACTTTTTCTGTTTAACACATCATTTCTGGTGATTGCCGTGCCCTGTGGTTTTACGGCGATGCCATTTTCACATTACATTTTGACATTTTTCAGCAGCTGACTCCTGTTAGATACATTTCTCAGGGACTCCGAGGTTTAATTATCACACTTGCAATTATTTAAAACTGTTTGCCTCAAGCTGCTTCAGTAAACCTCAGCAGTATTACAGGTTTCCCAGCATGGGAAAGCTGAATGTTTATACGTTGTTTCTGAGCCTTGTGATATATTGTCCGCAGTTCCATACAATGAGCATTTGTAATATGAGGTCTAGTTTCAGGGTGAAGCTTGACTCGGCGACACTAAAGTCTCTGTTTACTGTAGACTTCTCCACTAGCCTGAATGCATCTGACTTCATTTCTGTCTGGCGCTAAGCCACGGTTTGTAAAATGAATCCAAAGCAACACACAAGAGAAAAATGGTAGATCACTGGTAGATGAGCTCAAGGTTTACCACAGTCTGTTACTCTTCAGGACGACTTTGATTTGAAATGCTGCTTTAGGAGGGAGCATTGTTGTAATTTCTGCGGTAGTTCTTTATCACTGTGACAGTGGTTTTTCACTTTGATGAATGGCACTGCATTTGCTGTGTTTGTGGCCAGGTCTGAGTGGACTACCTCTCTCCAACCGTTGTCATTTATCCAATTTGCTCTTCGGATTCAAGTGGTCGAGATTGCATCTGTGTGTGGTGTTTGATGCTTAGAGTTTTCACTTAATCATACAGACATAGATGTTGTTATACTTTGTTAACTTGTAATCATTTACAATAATATATCTGGCTGTTTGTTCTTTTGATTCCTGTTGGCTTTGGGATTGTATATAAATTTGCTGTATAATAATAAATATCTTATTCATTTACCAGAAAGAGGGATGTAAACCATAGTGCTAAAGCTGTACAAAGGATAATAGATCCCAAAAAGTTTTTTTTTGAATTAACAGAGGTAGGAATTCAATTCATCAAATTCATCTTGGCCATGTAGACAACCCAGAAGTAGCTTTTTCTCCATGCAGATATTGAATGGGATATTTGGAAACAGTTATTTTTATTTCATCATTAATTAAATACTTGAAAGCCAGAGATCCTGCTCAGTTTTGCAACAGAGTCACTCCCATCAAACAGGTTTCTGTGAAGGAATATGATCCTGGTTAATCCCTGGAAACTCAAGAACACCTTTATCTATAAGATCACGCCCCCTTATTTTTCCCAGCATCACCAGGGTTCACACCACCACTGCTCTGACCCACTCACAGAAACTAGTCAGTATCTCTGCTGAAAAGCAACACTGAGACTTGAAATTAAGCATTATTTTGGGTACGAGGAAAACATATATATAGAAATATATACCTCATTTTCAGTTTTGCTAAACAGAGATATTTCATCTTCCTTGAGGATGGAGACTCACGATCTGCCTTCATAGAGTTTATTTTAAGAACAGTAAATTTGTCATATACACTAACCTCTGAACTCCAAGTGTTCCTCCAGATGTGCAGAGGAAAGCGTTGCTGCTGAGAATCCTGCTGCCTCAGCACAACCTCTGTCCAGCTGCCCCAGCAGCACAGCTAAAAGTCATTGGTTCCAGCTGGGCCTTCATTTATGGGATGGTTGAACAAATAAATTATGGGATTAGATAGGGGCGGTTCAGGCCACTGACTTTTTTTCCTTTTTTATTTGTTTTATGGGTTGTTGGCCAGAAGCCTCAAGGTTCTTCAGCTGACTTTCAGAATGAATAAAATAAGGATTTTTCTTTATTGAATTTGGCGTGCTGCAATCCAAATTATGTATATAGGAAAGTGCTGGCAATGCTATTTAGCTGCACAGTGAGTCGGTGTCACCTTTACACCAAATCGGTGAGACACAGCGAACAACCTGAACTCTGTATTAACACATTAAATCTCTCATTGCAACACTTTTTTAATTTTAAAAACTACTAGTAAAAACACAAATCCTCAAATCAGTCATTTGAAAGGATCTTTTTTCATCCTTGGCCATTTCAATAGAAATGTTGATTCATCCAAGCTCTCCAGTTGGAGTAAGAAAAGCAATAACACACATAACCTGCATCGTCAGTATATATATTGTACATTGTGGTCAGCAGATTACACAGGAACTGCCCTGTGCACAGGGGCTGCATACTCTGATACTTTCTCTTCCTCAAGTTTTCAAGAGCCACACTAATCTATCACAGGGTGTGATGCTCAGGCACAAAATACTGGTAAATTCAGCCAACTGCATCTGTATCAACTTTGAGAGCAGCGATTGGCTTGTTGTTCTTGACGTCACAGACGGGTGGAAACCTTAGTAACAAATCGTCTGAGACCTGAACACTGTCATTTCTGGCCATACTGGTGCTTCGGCTCCCCCCAACTCATAAAATCTCACTTCCCTGTAAAAGCGAGCAGCCTCAAGCACTTTTTCTTCCTGAGGAAACATATTCCCTTAATGTGGTGGGGTTAATGGCAAATGAATAATCATAACACACCAATGGCAGACAGGGCTTGTCATTGATCTGTCTGGAGTCAGCCCCTATCCGCCTGCTGCATCAGCCACTCTCCTCCTATTGATACGCTCTTGCCCCTTGACCCCTGGGAGAGATCAATGTCATTGATTGGAGAAGGGCAGGGACAAGGGCAAGATCTGCTGACTGGCCCGACAGCTAGTGTGACAAGACATGATCGTCATTAATGTCCCGCTGGCTGGCTGGCTGGCTGGCTGGCTGGCTGGCTGGCTGGCTGCTGAGGCGCTGTGCATCACATATTTCCTGCGTCCTACTTCCCCCCACACCTCGTCGTCGTTCTCCTCCGCTCTTCTTCACCCCTCCTACATTTGCTGCTCCATGTTCCCATTCTATGCTGCTTGCACTGACTAAAGATAAGTCCATTGTTTGGATACCTGTCTGAGGCTTGCCTGGCATCTGTGGCACAGATATGCATCTCCAAGCTGCGTGGAGATATTTTGAGCTTATTGTAGAAAAAGGGAACGGTGTCATTGCAGGTGTCTGCTGCATAACGTCTCTTAGCTCATGCTGCGTGCTCCTTAACAATCACAATGGAGCCGTTCCTATTTTTGGGTGGTTTGAAAAGCATTTTCCTGGCACAATTCAAAGAGAGTGAATTAGAATCAGCTTCAGCTCTGTCACAACAACTTGGTTGTGTATTCTCTGATCAGTGGCAAATCCCATCCTAATAAGATACCTCTGTGCCCTGATTGCCGACGGTTCTTTGAAAACGTGTGTCATCGATACACAGGCCTGGATTGTTTATCTGCCATTGTATGCAGTTTGCTCTTGTGGACCAATTTCATCACACCAGAGGGCTGCAATTCCAGTCTAGACTAGAAACGAAGTGAGCATCGCTTGTGTGTGTGTGTGCGTACGAGGAGGGGTGATGGGCGGAATGCGGCGACAGCTCCAGACTCTGCAGTGACATGGCTGTAATGGA